CCAAGATTTATTTTATTCATTTGAAAGGCAAAGTGACAGAGAGAGGGAGAGAGAGAGAGAGATCTTCCATCCTCTGGTTCACTTCCAAAATGGCTGCAATGGGCATGGCCAGACCTGGCGGAAGCCAGGAGCCTGGAAACTCTCGCTGGGTCTCCCATGTGGATGGCGGGGGCCCAGGTACTTGGGTCATCCTCCACTGCCCTCCTGGGCACATTAGTAGGGAGCTCGGTGGCAGGTGGCACAGCCAGGACCCCAGTGGGCGCTCCTATGGGGATGCTAGGGCCATAGGCGGTGCTTGGTCGTCTGTGCCACAGAGCTGGCCCCACTTAATCACCTCCTACAGGTCTCGCCTCCCAGTCCTTGTACGATGGCAGCCACATTTCGCCTGGAGTTTTGTTGTGGACACATCACGTGCAGACTGTAGCCAGCCCTGTGATCCTTAGGCAGTGGGAGCGGCCCAATGCACCATGCAAACATCCGGGGTTCTGATTTTACAACGTGTTGTCTTTCCCCTCCAGAATGGCTTCCATCAGGAAAATCAGCCGTGCCACCCTCGGGAGCTTTGGGGACTTCAGTGATGGTTCCTTCGATGTCTCAAAGCTGGGAGAGATGGAAAACTTGAAAATGAGCAGAAGTCTCACCCAAGTAGCGCCCGGCCCCGGCCGATTTCTACAAAGAAACGCAACGGTGGGTGAGAGGCTCTTTCTCTCCAAGGAGGACGCCGACCCCGGGAGCAAGCCGCGGCTCTCCTCCCGCGTGCCGCCCCCCACCGCCTCGAGGCTCAGAGCCAACGCCGTGCTCATGAAGCTGGCCCAGATAGAAACCAAGATCAAAAGCCGGAAGGCGCCCGCCAGCCCGGCTGACACGGACTCCGACTCGAGGCCCACCCGGGACGGGCTCCCCAAGCCAGCAGAGCTTTCTCCGCAGGACACAGATAGAACCTTCCAGAAGCAAGGCCGCGAGAGTCCCGGCAGCGGGAGGAGCACGCAGGCTGGGAGCGGCAGTCGGTTTCTGAAGAAGGGCCCACCTGTTGCAAACCCAGTCCCCGAAGCTTGTCCTGGGAGAGAGAGGAATGTCCAAGTGCCCCCGCCAAAAGAACCTGCTGGAAAGTTTGGTTCCCCTGACAGCGACCAAGAGGAGATGGAGGACCTGTCGGGGAGCCTGGCGGAATGTTCTAGAGAGGAAGCAGCCTACAAGGGCCAGGGTCTCACCGGCGGTAAAGTCAGGGTAAGACTCAGCCTTAGAGGGCCAGCGCCGTGGCACAGTGGGTTAAGCCACCAGCATCCCACACAGGCGCCGGTTCAAGTCCCGGCTGCTCCATTTCTGATCTGGCTCCCTGCTGAGTGCCTGGGAAAGCAGCAGAGGATGAGCCAAGTCCCTGGGCCCCTGCACCCACGTTCTGGCTCCTGGATTCGGCCTGGCCTGTCCCCGACTGCTGTGGCCATGTGGGGAGTGAACAGCAGATGGGAGACCTCTCTCTCTCTCTCTCTCTCTCTCTCTCTCTGTGTCTCTCTCTCTCTCTCTCTCTCTGTGTTTCTCCTTCTCTCTCTCCACAGGGACCCAAGCACTTGGTCCATCCTCCACTGCTTTCTTATGTACATTAGCAGGGAGCTGGACCAGAACTGAAGCAGCTGGGACTTGAACCGGCACTGATATGCGATGCTGGCATTGCAGGAGGTACAATGCCAGCCCCATTTCTTTTCTCTTCTTTCCTTCTCCTTCTTTTTTTTTTTTCTTTAAAATTGATTTATTTGAAAGGCAGAGTTATTGAAAGACAGAGAGCAAAAAAGTTCTTCCATCCCCTGGTTCACTCCCCAAATGGCTGCAACAGCAGAGCTGGGCTGATCCGAAGCCAGGAGCCAGGAGCGTCTTCCAGGTCTCCCACGCGGGTGCAGGGGCCCTAGGACTCGGGCCATCTTCCACTGCTTTCCCAGGCCACAGCAGAGAGCTGGATGGGAAGTGGAGCAGCCAGGATTTGAACCGGCACTGATATGGGATGCCAGTTACCGGCTCTGCCACAGCGCCTGCCCCATATTTATTTTCTTGATATGTTTTTGTTTATTTCTTATTTTTAATTGACATGTTATAACTGTACACATTTAGACAGTATAGTGTGACATTTCAATCTGTGTATACAATTGGTCGGTCAGATCAGTGTCGTTGGCAAATGAAATGACTACAGAAAGTTCATGGAAGGGAACTAAATGGTAAGTCTAGGAGCGGGTGTTTGGCCCAGCAGTTACGACACTGGTGAAGATATCAGAGGGCCTGGGGTTGCGTCCAGCTCTGCTCCTGACTCCGGCTCCCTGCCACTAAGCACCCTGGGAGGCAGAAGGTGAAGGCGCCAGTGCTTGGGCCCCTGCCGCCCACGTGGGAGACGAGGATGGAGTTCCGAGCTCCTGGCTCTGGCCTGGCCCGGCCCTGGCTGTTGCGGGCTTTTGAGAAGTGGACTAGCAGGTCTATCTGTCTCTGTCTCTCTGCCTCTCAAATAAATAAATAATTTAAAAAAAAAAATACAGGTCTACTGTGGTGCAAAAATGTTTTGAAGTCCATGCATCCTATGTTGATAGCATGCGTTTCTCTCTGTAGGAATCATTCATGGGCCAGCACTATGGCATAGAAGGTTAAGCCTCCACCTGCAGTGCCAGCATCCCATATGGGCACCAGTTCAGGTCCCAGCTGCTCCACTTCCCATCCAGCTCCCTGCTAATACACCTGGGAAAGCAGTAGAAGATGGCCCAAGTGCTTGGGCCCCTGCACCCATATGGAAGGCCAGGAAGAAGCTTGTGGCTCCTGGCTTCTGCCCGGCCTAGCCATTGTGACCATTTGGGTATGAACCAGTAGACAGAAGACCTCTCTCTCTCTCTCTGTAACTCTTTCACATAAATAAATAAATCTTTAAAAAAAAAATACTTAAAGAGAGTGAGAGATCGAGGTCTTTCCATCCACTGGTTCACTCCCCAAATGCACAGCAGCCAGGGCTGGACCAGGCCAAAGCCAGGAGCCCAGAACTCCATCCGGGTCTCCCAGGGTCTCCCATGTGGGCGGCAGGGACTCGGGCACTTGAGCCGTCATCTTGCCTCCAGGGTGCACGTGTGCAGGGAGCTGGCATCGGAAGCAGCACCAGCCCCAGAAGTAGATATGGATTTGGGGTGTCCAAACTGCCGTCCTAACCACCGTGCCAAACAGCTGCCCAGAACGCACGGCTGAGTGGGCGGCAACCATCTCTCCCTAGGAGAAGCCCCATCCCCCATCGCGCCCCCTCCCCCTCCCCCAGGCCCCAGTACACCTGCGGGCTTCCTGTTCTGGTCAGCGGGAGCCTGCCCGGAGCTTGTGCCCAAGGTTCGTCACCTCGCGGCAGGTGCTCGCGCCCTTCTTTTCCTGTTCCAGCCCTCTGTGGATGGACACGTGGGTGGCTTGTCCCTTCCGGCCGCTGTGGTCCTGGGCGTCCGGTCTCTGTGTCTCCGTTCTCACTTCTCCCAGCTCGGTACCGAGGAGCCAGACTGCGCATCCCCTCTCCGAGGCACTGCCGGGTCGTGTCCCATAGTGGCTGCTCCGTGGGGCACCCCCTCCCCCACCCCCGGCAGCAGCAGTTGGGGGTTCCAGTCTCTGCACGTCCCCACCATAGCGAGGCGGAAGGCAGGCTGCATGTGGGGGGAAGAACCCACGTCTTTATGTTCCTGGGGCAGCAGGGCTTTAACGTAGGAAATGCATGGTTAGCAAGGTAACTTGAAACACTCCTGCATAAGTGGAGTTGGAAGTGTGAGGTTACGGGGGTACACACCGGGCCAGGTAGTAAAGATGCCGATTGGGACCCTTGTGTTCTACGTAAGAGTGCCTGGGCACGAGCCCTGGCTCCTGGCTCCAGCGTCCGGCCTGTGTGCACTCTGGGGGACAGGGGGTGACCGCTCAACTGCCTGGGCTCCTGCCACCCACCTGGGAGACCCGGACGGAGCGCCTGGCTGCTGGCTCCAGCCGGGCACATTCCCAGCCTATTGTGGCCACCTGGGGAGTGACCCAGTGGAGGGAAGCTCTCTCCCGCTTCCTCTCCCTCTTCCTCTCTCTTCGTTGCTTTGATATTCAAATAATTATTGCTTTTCAAGTAGGATTATTTTATTACGAAAACAATTTTGAAATTCATGCATAGAGTAAGAATTTTGCACCTATTATAAAAACAAGTTCTTGGGGGTGGGCACTGTGGTGCAGCGGGTTAACACCCTGGCCTGAAGCGCCAGTATCCCACATGGGCGCCGGTTCGAGTCCTGGCTGCTCCTCTTCCAATCCAGCTCTCTGCTGTGGCCTGGGAAAGCAGTAGAAGATGGCCCAAGTGCTTGGGCCCCTGCACCCGCATGGGAGACCCAGATGGAGCTCCTGGCTCCTGGCTTCGGATCGGCGCAGCTCCGGCCATTGTGGCCAATTGGGAAGTGAATCAGCAGATGGAAGACCTCTCTCTCTCTCTCTCTCTCTCTCTCTCCCTGTAACTCTGACCTTCAAATAAATAAATAAATCTTTTTTAAAAAATTCGTTGCACCAAAATAAACTAATGCTTTAAATTCCTTTTCCTTTTTCCTTTTTTTTTTTTTTTTTTTTCGGTAGAGTTAGAGAGGAGAGGCAGAGAATGAAAGAGGTCTTCCATCTGCTGATCTGCTCCCCAAATGGTCAGCAGGTCCAGGGCTGGGCCAGGCCAAAGCCAGGAGCCAGGAGCTTCCTCCGGGTCTCCCACACGGGTGCAGGGACCAAGGACTCGGGCCATCCTCCACTGCCTTCCCGGGCCACAGCAGAGAGCTGGATAGAAGTGGAGCAGCTGGGAGTTGAATTATGCATAAGGGATGCTGGCATCCCAGGCCGTGACTTAACCCTCTGTGTCATACCACAGGCCCCTAAATTTCATTTTCCCATGAGCTTTTTTTTCCCCAAAGGTTTATTTATTTCTTGGAAAGGCAGAGTTAAAGAGAGAGACAGAGACAGAGACAAAGATCTTCCTTCCACTGGTCCACTCACAAAATGGCCACAGTTGCCAGAGCTGAGCTGGGCCAATCAGGAACCAGGGTCATCTTTCTAGGTCTCTCCATCTTCCACTGCTTTCCCAGGCACTTTTTTTTTTTTTTTTTAACAGGCAGAGTGGATAGTGAGAGAGAGAGAGAGAGAGAGGAAGGTCCCCCTTGTGCCGTTGGTTCACCCTCCAATGGCCACCACAGCTGGCGTACTGCGGCCGGTGTACCACGCTGATCCGAAGGCAGGAGCCAGATGCATCTCCTGGTCTCCCATGGGGTGCAGGGCCCAAGCACCTGGGCCATCCTCCACTGCACTCCCGGGCCACAGCAGAGAGCTGGCCTGGAAGAGGGGCAACCAGGACAGAATCCGGCGCCCCGACCGGGACTAGAGCCCGGTGTGCTGGCGCCGCAGGAAGAGGATTAGCCTACTGAGCCGCGGCACCGGCCTTCCCAGGCACTTTAGCAAGGAGCTGGGTGGGAAGTAGAGCAGCCGGGACTCAAACCAGCGCCCGTATGGGATGACGGCACTGCAGGCGGCGGCTTTACCCACTACACCACAGCACTGGCCTCTCCATGAGCTTCTTGAAGCACCCTTTTATGTGAAAGCAAGGTGGCATTTCTTTTTTTCCAAGATTTTATTTCTTATTTATTTGAGAGGTAGACTTTTAGACAATGAGAGAGAGAGAGAGAGAGAGAGAGAGAGAGAGAGAGAGGTCTTCCATCTGCTGGTTCACTCCCCAGATGGCTGCAATAACCTGAGCTGCACTGATCTGAAGCCAGGAGCTCCATCCGGGTCTCCCACACGGGTGCAGGGCCCAAGGACTGGGGCCATCCTCCACTGCTTTCCCAGGCCACAGCAGAGAGCTGGATGGGAAGTGGAGCAGCCGGTACTCGAACCAGCACCCACATGGAATGCTGGTGCTGCAGGTGGAGGATTAACCTACAGTGCCAGCCCTAACGTGGCATTTCTGATTATTTGTGGAATATTCTCTCATCCCAACATCATTCTAGCTACACATTGTACCTTGACCTCTAGAAATGGGGGAAAAGGCTAAGAAAAGGGACTCAGGGGCCAGTGCGCTAGTACAGTGGGCTAATCCTCCACCTGCCGCGCCGGCATCCCACAAGGGCGCTGGTTCTAGTCCCGGCTGCTCCACTTCCCATCCAGCTCTTTGCTGTGGCCTGGGAAAGCAGTAGAGGATGGCCCAAGTCCTTGGGCCCCCGCACCCACGTGGGAGACCTGGAGGAAGCTCCTGGCTCCTGGCTTTGCATCAGCGCAGCTCTGGCTGTTATGGCCAATCAGGGAGTGAACCAGCAGATGGAAGACCTCGCTCTCTGTCTCTTTCTCTCACTCTACCTCTCAAATAAATAAATCTTTTTTCTTTTTTTAAAGAAAAAGGGACACAAAGTTTTTCTTTGATTAATTAATTTATTTTCATGTTATTTAAAATACAGAGAAAGAGATATTTCATCTGCTGGTTCATTCCCCAAATGCCCACAACAGCCAGGTCTGGGCCAGGCCTAAGCCAGGAGCTCTGAACTCCACCTGGGTCTCCCGCATGGGTGGCAGGGCGCCCAGCACCTGAGCCATCACTGGCGCCTCTCGGGGTGCTCCGGAGCCGGCAGCTGGAGTCAGGAGCGGAGCTGGGACTTGAACCCCGGCGCTCCCATGGGAGATCTGGGATGTGGGTGCTCCAGGCCATATGTTGACCACTGTGCCCGACGCCAGCCCTGAGAGGTGGCACTGGGATGGGGGACCTGCTTAGCCCACATCTGCTAATTCTGTGTCTTTTATGTCTGCCGAAGTAGGGTCAGGCCCCGGCCCCGCCCAGTGCAGAAGTTCCCAGCTCGAAGCCCTCCAGGCCGTGGCGCCAGCGCACCTCGCAGCCAGCTCGGGGCAGCGGTGGCCGGTCCATGACCCCCTCCCCAGAGATGCCCACTGCGGCTGACACAGCCTCGCACACTTCATCCCCTTCCACCCTGGGTGCCTTCGCCAAGTCCGTGCCTTCTGAGATGGGCCGCACCGAGCTCGCGTCCTCGGCCAGCAGCGAGGCCGGGCCTGGGTGGGAGTCGCCGTCGGAAGCCTCTGAGGACAGCCACAGTGGTAATTCCCCCCAACCCGTCTCTGCCGCTCACGGCCTGAGCAGGGAACTTCATGTCGGTTTCTGGAGGTCAGGGCACCACGTTTAGATAGGATGGTGTTGGGGTGAGAGGACGCACCCCGAATAATCAGAGATGCCGCCGGCTTTCACCATCGAACGGCGCCTCAGAAGCCCGTGGACATGGATTTTAAGGCATGAGTTTATTTTGGTACAAAAAAACTTTGTTTTAAAGATTTATTATTTATTTGAAAGTCAGAGTTACACAGAGAGAGGAGAGGCAGAGAGAGAGAGAGAGAGAGAGAGAGAGAGGTCTTCCATCTGCTGGTTCACTCCCTAACTGACCGCAATGGTCAGAGCTGGGCCAATTTGAAGCCAGGAGCCAGGAGATTCATCCGGGTCTCCTGTGTGGACACAGGAGCCCAAACACTTGTTTTTCTTTCACTGGTTTCCCAGGTGTGTTAGCAGAGAGCTGGATCAGAAGTGGAGCAGCTGGGACTTGAACCAGCGCCCATATGGGATGCTGGCCCTGCAGGTGGCGGCTTTACTGGCTACACCACAGCACTGGCCCCAATCTTACACTTAAAAAAAATCTATATATTTGAAAGACAAAATTGAGTGAGGGAGAGAGATCTTTCTTCCCTAGTTCACTCCGCTGCTACCTTGAGGGTCCCCAGTGTGGTGGTCACAGGGCAGTGAGTGTTGGAGGGGCCACGGCAGATCTTGGTTCTTTCTTTAAAATCCTCACGGGGCTGGCGCTGTGGCACAGCAGATAAAGCCACCACCTGCGGTGCCAGCATCCCACATGGGCGCCAGTTCGAGTCCCGGCTGCTCCACTTCCGGTCCAGCTCTCTGCTATGGCCTGGGAAAGCAGTGGAAGATGGCCCAGGTGCTTGGGCCCCTGCACCTGCGTGGGAGATCTGGAAGAAGCTCCTGGCTCCTGGCTTCAGATCAATGCAGCTCAGGTCGTTGTAGCCATTTGGGAAATGAACCAGCGGATAGAAGACCTCTCTCTCTCTGTCTCTGTCTGTCTCTGTCTCTGTCTCTTCTCTCTGTGTAACTCTGCTTTTTGAATAAATAAATAAATCTTTGAAAAATAAATAAATAATCTAAGCCTCCATCTAGGACCTAGTTCAGACTAGGAGCCGAATGCGAGCCTGGCGGCTTACGCAGCACACGTGGCTTTCCTCTGGGTTCCAGAGGCTGGGAGTCCAGAATCCGGCTGCCCCCATGGTTGGGTTCATTTTTTTTTTCTTTTTCAGTTTTACTTAGTCATTTGAAAGGCAGAGTGACAGAGAAAGAGAGAGAGAAAAACAGAGGTCTTCCACCCACTTCCCAAATGGCCACAACCACCCGGGCTGATCCAAGGCCAGCAGTCAGGAGCTCCATCCGGGTCTCCCACGTGGGTGGCAGGGGCCCCAGCACTTGAGCCCTCCCCTGCCACCTCCCGGGGTGCGCATCAGCGGGAAGCTGGATCAGAAGTGGAGGCGGGACTCCCCGGCGCTCTGATAAGGGGGTTGTGGGCATCCTTAGCGGCGGCCCTTTCCACCACACCACAACGCCCCGCCCAGACACGATTTCCCAGGTGTAGGACCCCCAGGTAGGGGAGGCCTGACTGTCACCACAGCCTGGTGCACGACACAACCCCCAGTCCTTCCCACGTGGCCCTCAAAGAAAAGGGGTGCCTGCCCCTGGGCTGGCTCACTGGGGGCGGGTCCACACATCTCTCCGTCTCCCTGCACCTTTGCAGCATCAGCTGGGCTGACACTGTCTCCCTGCAGATTTCAGAATCAACGTCCTGTCCCTGGACGACTTGGGCGGAGCCGTCAGTGAAACATCCGCCGTGCCGGAGGTGAGTCGGGGCCTGTTCCCTGCAGGTGCTCCCGGGAATGGAAAGCCCTGCCCTGGGCCTGGGCCTCTCAGACCCGGGGTTCCCCGTTCTGACCCCCAGAGGGCGCTGGCCATGCCTGGGCCGCTCTGGCTGTCACCGTTAGGGGGCAGTGGGTGCCAGCGGCATTTCTCGTGGACAGAGGCGGTGTGGCAGTGGCCTTACAGCGCCGAGCATCCCAGGCCCTGATGCCACCTGCTACGGCGGAGGGCGGGGGGCAGGAGGGGGCTCCGGCTGAGGCGGTAGCAGGGGGAAGCTGGCACAGTCGGCGGAAGGCAAAGGTGCGCCTCCCTCAGCCCCGGGGTGGGGGGGGAGTTAGGGTCAGCAGCCGCACTCCGTCAGCCACGTGCGCTGCTGTGAGGTCCGCCCTGTTGCTAACACCTGCATCTTAAAAAAAAAAAAAAAGCTTATTTAAGGGAAGAGAGAGAGCGAGCATGCAGGGCAGAAGCGGTGCAGAAATCCTGCAGAGGGTGCAGCGGGCCCTCCCGCGCTCCGGGCGCCCGGCTCCTCCGCCTGCACGTCTGTAGTGCGTGGCTCTCTGGAGAACACCTCCCCCAGCCCCGTGCTCCCCTTGGTCTCAGGACGAAGGTGCTCAGAGGGAAAAGCCACCGGGCGACCGCGCCCACGCCACGCCGCCTGCAGGGAAGCGGGCAGGGTCACGGCCAAGGTCGTCCGCCCGCCACCGGGCCTCCGCCTCTCCCGGGAACGCCCCCTCCGCGGAGAGGGGCCGGGACGCGGCCTCCACCACCGACAGCGAGATCTCGGAGCACCTGGGCGCCCGCTCGGCCACCGCCAGCCCCGAGGACAGCGCGTCCCGCACGCCCTCGTCTCTCGGAGAGGCTGCGGGGGGCTCGGCTTACTCCGAGGACTTCGAGAGCTCCCCGGGCCCGTCAGCCTCCCAGCCGACTGCCCCTTCCCCGCAGACTGCGGACAGAACCCTGGACAGTCTGTCCGAGCTCTCCTCCGGCCTGGGGACACCCCCGTCCAGGAGGAGGCGGGGCAGGCACGGGCCGAGGACCATGGTCAAGGAAACAGCCGTGCAGACCCTGGATCCTGCGCTGGCCTGCCCGTGGGCGGCGGGTGAGTGTGGCCATCCCGCGCGGGGCAGGGCGGCCGGGAGAGCCGGGGCAGGCACCAGCTGGGCGCGGGCTTCCTGGCCAGAGCCCGGGCTCCCGAGATCCGGGCCGATGTCCGTGGCCGGCTAACAGCACAGGTGATGGCAGCTGCCCGAGGGGTCCCCCAGCTCAGAACAGACAGAACCCCAGCCTAGGGCCACTCACTGTGGCCACCCGTGCAGGTGACCCTTCCCAGCATGCCCCGGGCAGTGGAGAGCCAACCCCCTTTGCTTTCATTTCTTCTTGTTTTCCTCTTTATGTGAAAAGCAGAGAGACAGAAACAACGGAGCTAGGAGAGAGAGCGGGGGTGGGGGTCTTGCATCTGCTGGCTCACTCCCCAAATACCCACAGTAATGGGCTGGGCCAGGCTGAAGCCAGGAGCCTGGAGCTCCATCCGGGTCTCTCACGGGGGTGGCGGGGGCCCGAGCGCTTGAGTCGTCACTGCTGCCTCCCAGGGTGCTCATGCGCAGGGAACGGAGCTGGCACTTAGAGAGAGAGAGAGAGAGAGAGAGAGAGAGAGAGAGAGAGAGGTCTTCCATCTGCTGGTTCACTCCCCAAATGGCCACAATGGCTGGAGCCAGGAGCTCCATCCGGGTCTCCCGTGCAGGTGCAGGAACCCAGGCACCTGGCCCATCCTCCACTGCTTTCCTAGGCCATAGCAGAGAGCTGGATGGGAAGTGGAGCAGCTGGGACTGGAACTGGCCCCTCTATGGGATGCCGGCGCTGCAGGCAGCGGCTTTACCTGCTATGCCACAGCGCCGGCCCCTCTATTTCAAATAAAATGAAAATAAATAAGTAAACAAGCAAGCAAGCAAAAAGCAAGCAGGGCAGGAGGGGGAGGACAGGCCACGCGGCTCCCAGCGTCACGGCCTCGCCTTGCCGGTTCACCTTTCCCGTGTCCTTGGCACAGCGGCCGGCATGGCGACCATCGGGCCTGCCCTGGGAGGCGCCTACGTGGACCCAGCACCCATCGCCAGCCACATCGTCAGCGCGGATGTGCTAGAAGGTACAGCCGGCTCTGTGGGGCCCTCCTGGGAGGCAGGCACAGAGTCACGCCTGCTCTCGCTTTAAAGCTGGGTTCAGCACGTTGGTGGGGGCGGGGTTCCGGAACCTTCTGTCCTGTCCCTTGCCAAGGGGTTCTAACATCAAAGAGAAGAGAAAGGCTAAGAGGAGCGTGCTGAAAACTGTCCGCTTCCACGTCCCCCCATGTTGTGTGCATTCATTCTCAGCCTTGTCCCCTGAGGCCACTCGGCCCACATAGGTGGGCACCCACGGTGCCTTGGGGGCCGAGTCCGGGACTGGGTGTGGCACTGGGAGGGAGCCCCAGCAGCCACCTTGGAGAGTTCGGATTTGTTTTAAAAGGCTTATTTATTTATTTATTTATTTGAAGGGTGGAGTTAGAGAGAGAGAGAGAGAGAGGTCTTCCATCCGCTGGGACACGCCCCAAATGGCCACAATGGCGAGGGCTGGGCCATGCTGAAGCTGGGAGCCCGGGAGCTTCTTCCAGGTCTCCTTGGGGGCCTGACCTTGGGAGCTGGGCGGGAAACAAAGCTGCTGGGGCCGGAGCCGGGCCTCGGACGGCAGGGGCCTGGCCCACAGCCCCCAAGGAACTGTGTTCAGGCGACTGGCTGTGTCGCTGATGATGGATTGATCGTGGAATGGGGGCGGCCATCCCTCGGGGCGTGGGACCTGGCGCCTGGCACCTGACGGGAGTGGGCAGCCCTGACAGCGCAGCGCCCGGCCGCCCTGGCCCTGGACGAGCTGCTAAGGCAGCAGCTGAGCCTGACACGGAACTTCGTGGAGGCCAGTCGGCACCTGCACGCGACCCTCCTGCAGTCCCTGGACGGCCACTCCTTCCACTACCACACCCTGGAGGAAGTCAAAGAGGTGACCGCGGCCCCCGGGGCCCTGGGGAGGGAGCTGGCGTGAGCGGGTGGGGGGCCTGACCTTGGATCTGAGAGGTTCCGCTCCCGGGGGCCAACCTGGGGTCTGCCATTGTCCTGCTGTCCTCCCCACCGAGATTTCCCTGTGGCCAGCTTACCAAAGGCAAGTGTTCACTTTGTAAAAGCCTCGTGACAGAGAAATGTGTCACTTCCAGTCCTCTGACTTGATCTAGATTCTTCTAGACTTTTCCAGTGCAAAGTCGGAACTATATTATATAAATATTTATTCATTTATAGAAATGGGGCCGGCACTATGGTGTACCAGGTAGAGCCACCGCCTATGGCACCAGCATCCCATATGGGCGCCAGTTTGAGTCCTGGCTGCTCCACTTCCGGTCCAGCTCCCTGCTAGTGCACCTGGGGAAGGGTGGAAGATGGCCCAGGTGCCTGGGCCCCTGCACCCACGTGGGAGACCCGGAGGAAGCTCCTGGCTCCTGGCTTCAGCCTGGCCCAGCCCTGGCCTTTGTGGCCATTTAGGGAGTGAACCAGCGGATGGAAGACTGTCTCTCTCTCTGCCTCTCCTTCTGGGCTCTTTCAAGTAAATAAATGTTTGAAAACAAATAGCACCGTACTGCATGTACTGTGCTATATTTTTCTCATTTTATATACAATTACTTTTAAAGAAGTTTTCATTTTGATTTGAAAGGCAGAGATAAAGACAAACATAAAGAGCTCTTCCATCCCCCGGTTCCCTCCCTAAATGCCCACAGCAGCTGGGGCTGGGCCAGGCGGAAGCCAGGAGCCCACGCGCTTGGGCCACCACGGCTGCGGGCTGCCAGGGTGCGCGTGCGCAGGGAGCTGGGCTCGGGAGCAGAACTGGGACTGGGGCCCAGGCCCTCGGATAGGGATGCAGACCTTCCGAGGCGTGGCTTAACCGCCATGCCCAGCCCCCAGCCCTCGGGCCTTGCAGCTGCCAGGAGCTGGGCCCACGCGGGGCTGTCACCAGGCAGGCCTGGGAGTGGTGCCGCTGCTGGCTGGGGAGCCACTTGGAGAGCCGTTCCCGGGCAGTGTAGCTGCAGGCTGGTGGTCTGAGCTCCCCGCGTTCCAGAGTTCTCTGCTTGCACCCCTTCGGGTCCTTAACCTGCTCCTCGGTTGGACGTGCGTTCATGGGACGTCACCGCCCCGCCCCTGCCCGTGACAGGGTCCCCGTCTGCCCTCCGCCCACAGTACATCAGGCGGCACAGGCCGGCCCGGCTGACCATGGAGGACGCCCTGCAGGAGGTGAGGGAGGAGCTGTGAGCCCGGAGCAGAGCCCGAGTGGACACGCCCACGCCCAGGTGACCTTCGGAGGGGGAGGGGCAGGCGGCACTGGGGGTCAGGGCCCGAGTCCGACCTCGACTCAATCCCGGCCCCGCGTCTTCGGCAGGCTGTGGCGAGCAGGCAGAGTCCCGGTGGAGCCCTCTCTGCCCTGAGCAGGCCCAGAGCCAGCCTGGAGGAGGCAGGCTGAAGGGCGGAGCCCCTGCCGCATGGCCCCACCTGCACCTGCACCCAGAACCCGCCGCCGCCTGACTGCAGCCGAGCCCACCTGGGATTCCCACACAGAGGAAAGGGCTTTAAAAAAAGTCTTTATTTGAAGGCAAAACAGTAAAATCCACAAGAAGTCGTGAACAGCACGTGTGCGCGTCCCCTGGTCGGACGCGTCGGAACGAGTCACAGCTACGGGACGTGGGGACAAACCAGAGGCCGGGCCCGCGCACAGGGCCGGAGGGACACGGCATCTCCTTGAAGAGACTTGGCAGGAACGTGTCTGTGCCGTCGACGGCGCGGAACGCGTGGCCGCCCCCAGGGTCTCTCCGCTCCGTTCCGCTCCGGGAACAGGCGGCCGCCCACATGGCAGGGAAAACACAAAGGACAAAGTATCCAACTAAAGGAAAACCAGGCCCGGGGCGCAGGCCCGGGGCCATCCGCCAGAGCTCGCTCTAACGCTAAAGCCACGGGAGCCACGGTGGAGACCCCGCCGGCTCAGCCCGGCCACCCCGCGCCGCCCGGGGCCTCCTGCAGGTGAGGATTCCCGCATGGGGGTGTGGGCCCCACGCCCTCGGAGCGTGCTCCTGCCTAGGCGTGCGTCAGGTCCTCCTTCTCCTCCTTCCGGGCCCCGAACGTGGAGACTGCGGGGGAGGCGGGAGGTCTCCGGGGGGCCTTCGCGGTCC